TCCACGGTCCGACTTTGAAAATAATTATGCATACAATGGACTCAGGACAAGATGCTTTCCTATTAGTCTTTCTACCAGTGTGACCAAGTTGCGAAAACAAGGTCAAACAATTTCTAGAATAATTTTTCGTTCTAAGTGGGCTTAGAGAATATATTCCTGATTTATTTAAATTGTTATCTGACCCTAAGAAGTATTAATACCAATAACGAAAGTTTCATTGAGAATATCTGAATGACTGTAAGTGCCTGTGTATTCCTCTTTCATTTATTTGCAAGAAGGCTGAAGTAAACCAGTGAAAAGAGCTATGTACTAAGGTCCAGTATTTCGTTAAATCCAGGATAACAAAAATTTGTTCCAATTTTGTGAGCTAGTGCTTCATTGTTTATAACAAGTGTATCATAATTTGCAAGAAACTTTCCTGGTTTCTGCGCAGCTCAAATGCTGGGGTTTGTGCCATAATGAGAAGACGCCGAGCTGCCAGGGCGACACAGGCATGTTCCGACTTTCCAAACTGCGTCAACAAGGTGAGGCAATCCTTCAGCTCACGCACAAGGCCCACCTCGTGGCTGTCGGCCAGAGCCTCGAGTAGATGAATGATGAAAGAGTTCTTGCTAGCCAGTTGGTGATGTGAGAAAGCGGCTGCCACAACATCTTGAACTGTAGATGGCTGAGCCAGACGCTGGAATACTGGAGATAAGGTGTAAGTAGTGGGACATTGCATGAGGCTATAAGTCGCAGAATCTGTCATGAGCCCTGTAGACGAGGAAACTCCGGGACCAAGAACTGAACCAGTGAGGATTCCAGACTGAGAATTTGTGAAGCTAGAGCCAGTTCCCGTGACCATAGTGGGGCCGGAGTTGGAGGGACCACCACCGGTGGGACCAGAACTCACACCAGAAGAGGGTCCGGATCCGAATCCAGGGTGGAGAAAAGACCGGTTGCAACCAGGAGCTGGAGAAAGGCAGTCCACAGAACTATTTAGTGGATCAGTTAAACCTACTGAGCCATTATTAGAGGTAGTTGGGGTGGCATTTGGTGAGGAAGATAAAGGAGCGGATGCGGATCCAGAGGAGCCCCCAACAAGTTTACCATTTTGATTTGGCCGAGAAGAGGCGTCCTGGCAGTAGCTGAGCAACAGGCTGGCACATTTATCGTACTGGCCTAGAGAGAATAAGGAAATATTAAAATGCAAGAATGGCAGTTAGAACATGTTGAGGTAAAATAGTGGTCGAAATTTAAAATAGAATGGTAAAGATTGTTTTAAACTGAAATAAGAAGAATGCCATATATATATATATATATATATATGTTTATCCTCTAACTAATTAGGAATATAGGCCTATGGCGTAGTAAGACAAGAATCTGTAATGGGCTATTCAGCACAGCTTTATTTCTTCCAAAGATGAGGCGAACAGGATTACGGGTTCTCGATTGGCCACTAGCATCAGGAGGTGGCACTCGAAGGAAATACATTATCTGAACTAAGTAGAAAGGTCTCAAACACTTTCAGCATGCATATAAGTGAGTTGAAAAAAAATGGAAAATGCAGTAAGAGCCGTATGGGCTCAGCCGTCAAAGATATAATAAAAATTCGATGAAAATAAAAATAAGGATAAGATTCAGCTTAACAATAAAATATGAGGTACGAAACCAAGATAGTATGGCCTTTAGTATGGTCGCAGTCTCTTTTCGTTCTATAAAAATTGTTTGATCTTGTTTTCGCAGCTTGGTCGTGTTTGCCT